TACAAATAATATATTTTATTAAAAAATTAAGAAGGAATTCTATACAAATAAAATTTCTTCTTACCCACATGCCTCCACATCCTGTTCGTGTATATTGAGTCTCTATTAGTCTTAAATGTGTAATGTGTTTTCTTAAACAAAAGAAATTTAAAACAAGACCCTGTAAACGTTGAGTACGTATTTTTACATAATCATATTTCTTCAATACTTCTCTGTAAAAAATGTTAAATAATAAAACTCTTTATTAAGTTAATATACAAATTAATAATTTTCCATAATTTAATTATTAACTTATATACGTAGTTAAATTTGCTATTGTAATATCTGCTATCCATACCTAAAAGCTTTAGTCCATGGATCTTCGAAAAATATGTCCATTACCATATTCTGTGGTTGAGCTTTAACTTCTTGTAATCTAATATAATTTATAAAATAAATTATTTTATATGCAAAACACAAGTTTATATAAATTACACATACCCAATAAAATATAAGTCTGGCAATGTTTTTGATTTGTTAACATGACTGAGATCAAGAAGATCATGTAAATCCTGATCTGGATATTTTGTTGCCACATTCCATGTGACAAAATAGATTCTACAATATGTAACATATAATTTGGTATTATTAAAATTACTTATACATATAGAATATAATTTTCTATCTATAAATAATGGAATGACTAAAATATAAAATAGGAATATATTCTTAATTTGTTATTAAATTTTTAATTTATAAATCAAACATAGAACATAAGGTGTGAAGGTTTAATATATAATCATAAAAAATGTTAAATAAGAAAAGAATATATGGATTAAAAAATACATACTATAAAACATTCACTCACCTAAGATATTTTAATTTTTCAGCCATTTCTAATACAGTACAATTTTAGAAAGATATCACAAAAGTTTAATCTAACTTTGTTAGCATCTGGAATCAGGTTATATACTAAAGTATGCAATGTCCTCCTGCATAGAAAAGTAAGTTAAAAAATAGTACAAAAATTGTTAATGACCGGATAAGTAATTTTCTTGTTTTAAATTTTTATTTAAATATTGTTAATTGGTGCTTCAAGAAACATTTCACAGAAATCGCGTTACTTTTCTGATAGAATGCATCAAAACAATTGTATTAATTGTAAGACCCATACCGTTAACAGCTGTAAAGAAAGCAATCTCCCCTCTACTAAAGTCATCCATGTGACGTCAAGAAACTAACCTGTCATTTACTGTCACCGTGTGTACTACGTATAGTACACGTAGAATACTATATTAAAATTCTATTTACCTAAACTTCATTTATAAAACAAAACTTCAACCTCTGAACTTTCGTTGAGCTTCTGTTATCTACATTATTACTACTTTACTTGAATATTTACGGTAACTGATATTCAAACGTATTAAAAGTAACACAGTTATATCTCATAATCAATTTCTTGTATATATCGTAAATAAACCTTGCAACATTTGTAACTCAATTAAAATAATATAACGTACAGAATAAAACTATACTTATTTTATTCGAAAAATTTCGAATCTTAAGAGATTGAAAACTGGCAAGACAACTTTTCTGTTTAAAGAATATAATACTGAAAAATTAATAATAAGAAACATAAAAAGAAATAAATGAAAACAATCTGACATTAATATCAAATATAAGTGGTAATAAAGTACAAGTATAAAAAAAATGTTAAGTACGAAAAAGGGAATTTTAAGTTGTAATATAAATTTAGTTTTTACGCGTTCTCAAAATTCCCTCTAGTGAATTAGTTTTTTACAAACAACTTTTGCAGAAAACAAGTGCGTGTAGTTATTTTAAAATTATTAATGATTAGTTAAGAAATTTAAGAAATGCCATGGAATATATTTGTTACATATTCCCAATTCTGGTTATTAAATACAACCATTAAATAGTTCGAACATACATTCAGTAATGTTCTTAAAACAAAAATTAAGGAAACACATATTTACAACGATTTTACATGAATTTAATCGATTTTCTATATAATCAATGAGAAATGCATTTTTTTCTTCACAAAATAAATAAATTAATTCATCAAATATTACGAAATTATAAATTTGATATTCATTTATAAAATGTAAAATATTTATATAAATAGAAGCATAAGGAAATAATTGAATGTACTTATCGAGACTTCAAATATTTGTACGTAAATTATAGATAGTAAAGAAAATCGCTGAGCTCTTACTATATGAACGCTCCAGTTACATGAACCGTTTTGTCCTCTGACGGGTTCAGGTAAATGGAATTCTACTGTACTACGTAGTATGTATTGCATCTATGGACAGTAGCGTAGTAAGTTTGAATAATACCTGAACCTTTTCGAAGGATATTGTGTATCCTGTTTAAAAAAATAATATCAAAATAAAAATTGTTATAGATATAAAATACAATTTTTTAATCTTATAGCTTAAAATAAGTTCCGACAACTTCAATAACAAATGAAGCAATCGAATTTACTCGATGCAATATTAAAGATTCTTATCAAATACTAAATAAATTAAATAGTGATATTGAAAATATAGATACCTGAAATCTTTTAAATTTTACTTCAAGAGTTTAAATGCTATGTTTTTGAATAATTTTTAAGCATGGTTAATGAAATGAATTTTTTAAATTTACGGGAATGGAAATGCACTATTCACTATAATGTGTCTTCTGAAACTAATTGCTTATCGACAAAAAAACTTGTTGCAAAGGTAATAATCATTGCGAATGACTCACTGATAGGTAAGATACGGAGAAATACTTTCTTCATTGTTATTTAACTTTATAGAGAATTAACTAACTATAAAGAATTAATTAATTAACTAACCTGGATAGATTGACATTTCTTTAATATGCTTGTCAAATTTGTAAAAATTCAATCATTAATTACTATGTATTATTTTAAAGTAGTAATATAACGCACAATCATCCTACATATATAAAATTATCATTTAAAAAGTACTAAATAAAATAAATAAATATTTTGATACCACAAAACCAATCTTTTAAATTACATAAAAAATTAGTGTCTAAAACATAGTTTCAGATATAAATACAAAGAATAAAATCACATGCATAGCCTGTTTGTCTGCTTTCAATTATAAAGAAACACATTAATCTTAATACATCTTCAAAACAATTGTTAAACCGTCATCGATAAGCCGGTAAATGTATTATCTATGTATCTTCTCACGGGTATTACTGAAATCTCAATAATTATGAATTAATGATGGAAAGAAGAAGAAGAAAACATATAAAAAATGAATCGTACCTTTATTATAATTTCTCGCGAAATTCGCCTCCGGTTACTATAGTTTGATTTGTTATCGAAATAATCGAGCGTAACCAACGCAGTGAGAAGCTAATTAAAAGAGAATCTCGAACAACGACTCGCACGTATTATTATTTACAATAACAAGACAAACGAACAGAAAACGAAGTTCGTTGTTTCGTCGTTATCTAATCTAAGAATGTAGAAGAAGCAGTTCTTTTATTGAATTCACGGACTTCCATTCGAAACCGTTTCTGGGGAATTATCAATACATCATCCCAGGATGAGCTGCTCGCTGGAAGAATACGTTCGGATTGGCTGATAGAGTCGTATACAAATTTCCCGCGTCTTCTGGCCTCAAATACATGCCTGGTGGTAAGACGAACGTCTCCATTGGACCGTGAACATCTGAAAAGCATATTTGATTTCAATTAATCAGCTCAATATAAGACTTCATAATTATTCATAATTACGTATGGGTTATATCTGGATGCAGCTGAAGATATTGTATAATAGGTATTATAAACAAGATATGATTCCTTATGCACATAAAGATGAATTAGAAGTGTAAAATAAAATTGCTTCATTTAAGGTTAAGAATTCGCTCTGTATAATGTTACACCTAACCTGACATGTTTGCATACATTTTGTACATATATGAAATCTAAAGCTATAATTTATAATGAAGATATTGGTTTATTGTGATTACCATAAAGTGCTATAAAGAATAAAGATTATAAAAACAGAAGACCTAAAAGAAGCAGTATTCAATCGTTAAATGTTAAAACCAACAGTTTCTTACGAGAGAAATTCATAAATTATCAGAGAGATAGAGTGTAGTTCGAGTAAGCAGCGGGTAGTATGTTATTGATTTATAAATACAGTAAGTTCCATTTTATGTTTTAAAAGTACATATGTACATGTATCAGCAAAATGTACGCCTAACGAATTTTCAAATTCGATTTCTTTCAAAACTAAGTCTTGTATGAAAAGATTTTATTCTATAATTTTTTATTTATTTTTTAATTAATAATTAATTAATAATTTTGTATTAATATTATATTTATCACTTTTTATCCATTTGTATAATTCATTGAGTATTCTATCCAAGACTTCGTCTACCGTTATTTTTAAGTTTTCTTATAAACTTTCTGGATGATTATAAAAATAGTTTCTTAATTTCACTGAATACTTGGTAGTATGTTTGTATCTCTTTCAAAAATGATAAGTATATAATTGTAAATTAGTGTACGGTTTATCCATAAATATTTTTTCATATAGTAATGCGATAAAAATTTTGGTACTATTTAAATGTTGTAACGAAAATTTATAATTAGGTGATAATATTTTATCTATATTTATGCCTTATTGAAACCCGTTATTAATATCCGGAAACGAAAACGCCGTACATCCGTTTATTTTTCCGGCCGTGTTAAGCAGTAGAGCGTAATTTTAATAACTGTATTCATTTGGAGTTATTTACAGATACTTTAATTTAATTTTATATATATTTTTATATTTTATAATTAACTTTATTTTTCACAAATATCTATTTTTATTTTATTATATACTTATATGTTATTGATTATTCCTATTTCATTAATTTAATTACACATCTCTAGTCTAACTGTATAAATTAACTATTGTGCTAATTTATCGCTAGGTATTAATACAAGAATACCCGATAAGTAATAAAAATATAGGAAAGAATCATTAATAAATTTAATTAAAATATAACAAAATTAATGACTTTTAGTACAATTTCTTATGCTTCTTGTACGTATATATTAAACATTAAAATACTCCTGAAAAGTATTTGTCAAATTTCCTATATTAATAATAACACGTAATTCTAAATTGTATTAATTTTAAGTTATTTGATTTGCGTTTTAAAAGTACTGTAGTTTTACGAAGTTTGTGTACATTTTTAAGGAGATTACGTGTGAAGTACTGACACAGAATCTCCATTAAACAGAGATTGTCCAATAAACGTAACCGCATTTCAAAGTGGGTCACACCTGTCACATTGCTTGCAGACTTATGATTATTCGAAAGTTTCCTGTTACGGAAGGGTAATTTCATTATCTTTGGTATCGGATCACTATGGTGAGACAACGAAAACCGGATGAAATCGGCCAATGACTCTCAACAAGAATCCTATTTTTGGAATTGACTCTGGAACTTCCCAGAAACTTCAAACGGTAGCGGAACGCTATAATTTTTATGTCACGTTACTAAGCTACACTTAACCTAACGCAAGAGGGTAGAAGGCGAGTAGCATGATAATAAAGACGATGCTTCGCACGAAAGTTTAAAGTTAAATGTTACTGAAAGTTAACACTGCCATCTGCCATCTGTTATCGGTAACACCGATTTATGCACTTCTATCAAAAAAGAATGAGATGCCGTTACGTGATTAGTTTCTTAAGGGACACAATCAAACAGAAGAATGTTGGCAGCAAAATCTCAATTGAACTTTTTACACACGAGCAACTAATGTATAAACTTAATCGGAAGGTCATAAAACGATGCGACTGGATATTATGATAACTACAACCGGTGTCATAAACGAGCGGATGGTTTATGCCTGGCAGGCTAGTGACCTCTGCCTCGCAATATGTAGTATAATCCACGCCCTACTCATAATAATGGGCATTACGGTAAAGAGATGTATTACGAAGCTAACACGCTTACTTCAAACGTTTTCCTTTTAAAAAGAGATATTATTGAGCAACTTAAGTTTCCTCTCTTAAAAAACCATATTTTATATATGTAATATGCTGAGAATTGCAGCGCGAAGATAGAATTGCACTTATCAAATGTGAAAATAGACTTAGATAAATAGCCATATTTGAAGTTATCTTGATCGACTAAATAATTCTGATCGATATTTGTGATGATTTCTTTTCGACGTTCATGGTCCAATAATATTTACTAAGAAACGTTGGATGGCTATTATTAACCAGGAGAGGCGAGAATTTGTTTTTTTCTGCGTTGAAAAAGTTTGATCAGCCACCAACAACAGGTCACCGATTAACTAGCGTCGTCTGATCTAACGGGATTTGTTTCCCCTTCCAGTTTAATCCTCGGAGAAGCGCTTGACCTCCGCCTCGAAACTTTCTCCCTCTCCACCTTTCCAGTAAGAGGTTTTTCCTCCCTTTCGTTCGTTCCTCGAGGTGAAGGTCGCCGGAGGCGACGCCGTAACGGAGGAAAAGTTTGGAAGGGGAATTTATCGAGAAAACGAACTCAGGTATTTCCGGGACTACTGTAATAACCGTGCTATTTTTGTTCCTTGATTACGTCTCGATACTGAAATTATCATTTTGTACTCCGTACATATGGCTTCAATGAAAAATATATTCGCCGACTTGACGCTAATTCCATTACATATGATAATGAATTTTCCGTTCAATTAGTAGTAACTTATTATCAAGATGCTTTTAAGCTTACAAATCTTGAATAACATCAGAAAAATGGATTTTCTAATTTTTTTGAGTTAACATTAGTTTCCTTCTTCCTGAAGATTTCTCTAATTAAATAAATAAATTTTATTCTGTTAATTCAATTGCGTATGTTTTGCTGCATTTCCTGTAACAACTAACGTTCTGTAACTAAAATAATGTATCTTAGACTGTTATAAACGAAAATGCTGATATTTTACAACCAGCTAATTTCTGAAGTCACTTACCGTCGGAGTATATGGGGCTTCCACCATGCCTGCAGGCAGTGCATCCAGGTATAGCGGATGAAACTAATGCCACACGATCTGCAATTCAAAACGCATCAATAACAGACAATTATACTAATGTTAAAGACATTAACATTTAGCGTTAGTTGATTTCATGAAATTAAAAAAAATCTCAGTCGATAAGATAACAACGTCCGTTTTGTTGTAAACAGTATAGCATTTAACACCATTTGCACAAGAAAAATTTCAATTAAACATTTTTACTTTTCAATATTTCATCGTAACGTACACAATAGTTATCCGGTATTAATTAAACTTTAATTAACCATTTCCTTTCTCCGTATACAGTTTCACGATTCGTATGGATAAAACATGACGAACACGCTGACACCGTGTGAAGTAATCGAATCGAAACGAGAATCGAGAAAACCATGATAAGTGGCAGATGCGAGCACGAAAACGCGTGAGAAATTTTGCTCGGTCGATAAAAGAAGTACAGTGAAATCACTGCGCGCTGCATAATTCTGACATCTGGGAAGTATCATTTTCATGAGTACTATCCAACGTAAAAGAGCTAAAAACATAGAGGCATAAGAAACTGGCTGTTGCAGAAAAATTCAACGACGTGACTTTCAAACAGGTAACCACAAAATTTTTTCTTAATTAACAATTACCAGATTCGATACAGTGACGAGGTGTTAATAAGTTACTCAACGGTAATACTTTAATTGCTGTAAAATGTGTGCAATTAAACACGTAATAAGCGAAAGAATAAACAACCGTGAACGTACCACCACTGTGATAGTGCATCTTTCTCTTTAGAGAAGCTTCGGCTGGTTTAAAGTGGAAGAAGGAAGGCGAGTAACCGCTGCCAGGAAGCGAGCTCAGAGCATCGTCTCGATCACGAATCACCGTTGCGGAAGCCTCTCGGCCGAGGGCAGCTAACTGCCGACCCTTCGGCAGGAACATCGTCAGGAACACGAGAAGGGAAGTAGTCAATAAACCATAAGCTAGCCAGGCCTCTCTGTCACTCTCTGTCGAGGCAGCCACTGAACCGATCGCGCTCGATATCCAAATCGGAAGCGATAAACCAACAGCCAGGCCAATAAATGCTGCTTCCCGGTTGTTGTCTCGGACGCCGCGTGCTCGGACTGCTAAACAAGCTACCGCAACGAGCAGCGCGCCCGGATACCTGAAAACGAATCGTTCCATCTTCAGTGTAACGTTCCCAAGATTTTCTACTGGATTCAAAGTTTGGAAAATTATATCTATTACAGAGTGGATTGTAATGTTACAAATTATGTAGGTTTGAAAGGTTTACCTTTTTATTGGTTATAGGTATTTTTAATATTGGATAAATTATGATTTTTAAATTGTAAATTTTTAGCTAAGTTTGTAAAGTTAATATAAATAATGATAAGAGTAAAATTGATATTAATATAATAATACAAGTAAAATTGAGAATTAAAAATTTATCAGTTATGTACTGAATGTACTGATTTGAATGTAAATGTATGGAGCAATTTGTGGATTAGAAATTAATATTCTAAAATACCAATGTTTGAAGTTCAGATGAACAGAATGTTCAAGAACGCAACAAACATTAATATTATACAGAATATTAATAACTTGCTATATTATTACAGTTCTAAAATCAAACAATGTAACAAATCATTTCAAAAGCAATGCAACATAAATATGTGTATATGTATTTAAAATTATTTTAAAATATAAGCAAACTTAATGATTTGTGATGAATGTTTCTGAAATTTAATATTGTCGCATAACTGTATTGTTAAACACTGCAGCCAGCAATAGATATAATAGTACATAAAGTAAATTTCATTTCAGCTTGCAGCAACTGCCTTTTCCTCTAAACCGAAAAATATTGCCGATGGAAGGTTTACATTTCAAAAGTTTACCCGAGGGAAGCCACTATCTGTCCAAGAGGAGTTTTGCAACAGGACATTGGAGAGTTTTGTCCTGTATTTTGTACCTGGACCACCGTGGGTGGTTCGCCGTAAAACCATTGTCCAATGATAGCTACCTGCACGAGCACGGCGAATCCCAATACCAGTCCCTGTAACACAGTGAAGGAACGTACGCCATATATTAATGTCCACGTATATACATAATCATAAGCTGCGTTTCAATGCGGTCTTGAAAAAAATTCATTCAATGGTCGTCGAGTTTTGATCGATTAACGATAGAACGCTGTAATTATTATGATGGCATTCTTAATTAACATTCTTAACGCTTGTCCGTCGTGCTATAATTCATTGGTGAACAAGCAGTTCCTTATGATGGCCAAGGGGTTCTATTAAACGAACGTGATTATAAATGAAGAATTATTAGACGAGCAAAACGGATACGTATGATTTTTCTAACAAGTTATTTCATAAACTGGTTTCAGCTCTTATCGTCGCTTCCTTTAATGCATATAATCACACCTACTGATGACAAGCAATAAAAGAAAACCCGTTGAATCCGTTACGCGGGGCAGAAAATGTCGGAGATATTAATGTTATTCAACGAACGGCAAGGCATGCTTAACGACCACAACAGCTGCACTTACTGCTATTAGTAGCGGGCGTTACTACTGCGTTACTTTTCATTCAGATCCCGTCCCGCACGTACAAATAGTCGATCGAGATCGACATCCGGATCTCCGACACAGCGAAATAAGAAAAATCCTTCGTGCATCCTTCGTGAGAGTTGTTCCACGAGTTTCTGCGAGCCGTTTTCTAAAGCCGTATTCACACCGGCTAGGCAAGAACTTTCGATTGTGTTTCGATTACCTGACTGTCAGACGTGCACGATGAATGGCTTAAAACGTTCAACGATAAGGAACGTTGTATGGATCATCGAATGGTGGAATGCAGCGTCGCACAGAAATAAGGAAACGTGACTTTCATTTGTTGGAAACGATGCATAAGTTTCGATAACCGCGAACCAGAATAGAAATAGCAATTTTCATGCTTCCTTTTCATACTTCTCCCTTTTTTATCTGCATAATGACCTATGTAATTACTTCACTCGTTTTTTCGTAATGTATCCCATTTTATACTTGAAAATGAGGGAGCATCGTCTTAAATATCTGGTTCGATTCGTGAAACCGTGACCTTTACTCTAAAAGCTCCATTCTGTTTACAAATTGCTGAATAGTAATAGCAAATCAATTGTTAAACCTCACGAATGAGAAACGAGGAACGTTTTGTTGTATTTAATTTAAAATCTCAGATTTAGGAAACGCAATGTATAACCCGAGTACTGTTTAACTGATTTATAGTGCTCTACAAAGTATCCTCTGTAACATGATAGGTTAATATTGTAACACGATATCCTGACATAGGAAACTTACTTGATAAGGTGCTGGTAGATAAACTCCGCTGTTTAACGAAAGCAGGAACACACATTTAACCAACAGGGCTGCAAATACAAGAGCAGCAGGTAAACCGACTAATCGAAATGCAGCACAGGACAGAGGGTTTTGACTGAGGGAGGCTGCTGCTGAGAGTCCTGCCAGGAGGAAGAGGCCTAAGAGTAGAGCTTGTCCCAGAAATAAATGTCGTCTGTTTGGCGCGGTTACCCTTGCCTGAAAATTATCATAAAGTTTTCCATTTTTACACACATTTTTATGATAAAAACAACACTTATGTTAACCATTTATCCAATTATAATTGGCAAGTGATATCTAAACGACGAACTAGCAAATTTCCAATCGTTTTTAAATGTAAGTTTTAATAAATAATTTAAAGTATGGAATAAAATCGTGGAAATGTGGTTGCGAAAATATAATTCAAACTGTTCACGATCCTCCATAAAAGGAACTCTGGGAAAATAATGTACACGATGGCGTTTCACACGAGAACATCAGCATGCTCTAATTTTTTTTTACGCAGCTAGGAAAATCTCGATATGGCAATCAGAAAGTAACTCTACGTGCGTTTTCAAGGCTAAATCTCGTTCTTAGTTCCCTGCGTTTGTTCTATTAATTTCAGATAAGCTAGAGAGGGAGGTTAAGAACTGTTGCATGTCGAACTGTTCACAGAGTGGATCGTTACGTGCGATATAATCATAAGAGGATTAAGGATAATTACGAGGATTAATTTCTCTAATTAGAATAACTAATAAAGCAGTCATATGTGCTTAGCTCTTAGAATAAACATAGAATAAGCATAGAAAACCTGGCTAATAAATTACGATTTAACAGGTTTGCCAGTCATATAGACAAATTGATTGCTTGTTTAATACCGTGCATATGTCAAACCTCATCTACTAGATTTTATTAAACTAATTAGTCTTATTACCCGCTAATATCGTCGTTTGATATTCTTTCATATAAATTATTGATCTATCTTGTTCGTATGAATAACTAGATAATCACAAATTAGCTCTAATAGCAGTTTTCTAATACTTCCAATAATACGTACAGTTAGATACAAAAGTGTTCGATTACGTACAATTTAGTTTTTCTATACCAGTAATTTGTCAACCTTTTTATCATGTGATCCAAAATATTTGTTTGAAATAATACCAGGACTCAGTTATTTATAACCTAAAATTTTGGAAAATACGTGGTAGACTGGATTTACCATATATTATACAAATATACGTGTAAATAAATTTGTAGCAACTTTTACACGTGAAAAGTGACATTCGATACATTTTACATACCTCGTATTAAATGCTTCGAATTCGTGGCAAAATGTAAGACCAAAAATTTTCAATTTCATAACCTATTAAAAATTCAACATGGCCCATAGCTGCTCTAGCGTAATAACGCATATATCGTGTTCATTAAATTCGATCAAAATGCAGAATATTTAAAGTTAAATTATACATATACCAGTATTACCAGAATACTTTTGTCATTGACTGTATACGAGTCGAAACGGACTTAACTCGCACCTGAACAGCACCGACCCCTAATATATTCATGTCCAATAAAGAAATTCGATGTGACATATAATCCATACGTTTATACCAATATTTTATGCCTCGTTTATAATAATAGGAAATGAAAGAAAAAAGTGGAAGCCATAACCTGGCCAGAAAATATTCGATCAAGGACACCCTTCTGCCCCGTATTGCACTTTAGATTCAAGAAGATGGTAATTAAGTACAAAATACTTGGCGCCGTAATGGCGCTATTAAAGTTAGTATAAACATGAAATTTGCTATCAAAGGCTTTCCTGGCGGCTCCCTGTTCAATGGAGTGTATCGATACGAGCAGACGACACGGCCAGGAGAAATAAGTAGTCGACATGCAAACTAGGCCTAGGTCTCGGCGAAATTGCGAGCGTGCTGGTTATTGGAGCTTGTCGAAGTATGAACGAAAACAATTACCATAAATTCCCGTACACGCTTCCAGGTATACCGTCGAGTGAAAAATAGATAAAGATTCCTTTCTAAGCTCTATTAATCCGGTGCTTCCTCAAATCTCAATTATGGATGCCTATACGACCGCGAAAACGCGTTTCGTACCATTGCACGCGATCGGTTCGATTGGTAACGAGCTCTTCCCGCTTTTTCTTAACGCCTGTCAAACGAGACGTCGTCTTTGCGCTCCACTTCCGGCGATAAAACAGTCGCGTTATAAATTCCATGTCACTACGGCCCCGCCATTTGCATTTTAAAATAATGTCCCCGCGACGCCACTTTCACGAGGGACATCGAATCATTTTTTAGGAATATTCTTGCACTTTTGTTTCAGCGCCATATAATTTTACGCCGATAAAATATCGAAACGCGAAGGGAATAAATTTTCTTTTCAGACGAATTCGGTGTAGCACTGATCTGCATAAAATATAAAACTTTCGGTGTAGTTGATTCATAAATTTGAAAGTGGCGTTAATTTACTTGCTTCTTTTTATATGTGGCGGTAATATTATATCGAGTTTACGTAGAAACTTGAGAATTTATAACCAATCTTTTTACCCTTTTACCTTTTAGCCAATTTTCTTGTACTTCTCCTACAGGACTGTGTAATTTTATACTCGTAAAATATTAAAACGTGGAACGAATAAATTTTCTTTTTAGCTAAATTGGTATGTAACTTGTTTGCGTAAGATTTGTAACATTTTATATAGTTGATTCATAAATTTGGAATAGACGTTAATTTACTCGTCTTTTTCATAACGCAGTAGTACCATATCGAGTTCAGGCAGGAACTGGAGAATTTATTACCAACCTTATTACTCTTTTGCTCTTAACCCAACTTTCTTGTAGTTTCGTTAGAACACTGTGTAATTTTGCACTCATAAAATATTCAAACGCGAAACGAATAAATTTCCTTTTCAAACAAACTTGATCTACGACTGATTCGCATACAATTAAAAACTCGCCATATAATTAATTTATAAATTTGAAGCTGATATTAACTTACTCCTTCATAATTCAGCAGTGTTATATGAAATTTACTTAGAAACTTGGGAATTTATGTTAACCTTTCAACTTCTAGGGAATACAACCTAATAATTACATATCGTGTGTTCTATTATTACACATCTTGCACCACACACCTTCCCCGCAAGTTCGAATATTATACTCTTGCTTGCAACGTTCCATTGTTTCTATTAGCAGTTCATTTGCTTTCAACACGAGCAATTAGAAATTCTTCCCGCTTCCCCCGTTTTAGTTAGAAACATAAAACCAACGAAACCGAAAGAACGTAACCTCTTTGCAACCATTACGCCCATGTTACCCGGCTATGACGCAACACGATAATTACATAACCTATCCATCCGCGATAACGCGAGAGATGACGTTACTCGATGAACAAAATTCGGCATT